CCCCAAAACCCCAAAACCCCAAAACCCCAAAACCCCACTAAGCCAATACAAATAATAGAGAAGAGATAGTATTATTCTTGAACATTCCAATTTATATTTAAATTTTAAACCCGCTAAGTTAACTTTACAAATGGAAACTTCCTAATCACAAGCCAAAAATTCTGTTTTATCTAATATCACTAATGATCCAAGTATTCAATCTGACACCTCAATGAAATAAGGCTCTAAAGCTTATTATGAAAAAGATGATCTTTTTCTTAACTCATAGATGCCAAATGAATAAAAATAAGATGATGAAGATGAAAGCGAAGATGAGGAATCTGAAGAGGAAGGAATTGAAATTGATTTCCCAAGAGATAATGCTTAGGATTTAGTCCAATTTCTCCATAGAGAGCTTAATAATCTTTAGAATATGGAAGATGGCTAGAAGAGAAAGTTCGCATTGATCAAGATGTATCAGATTTTTGTTTAGGCAAAAAACAAAGCACCTAATAGAATATACTAGGAGCTATTACCAATGATATAAAAACCCTTATTTAAGCGACTTTCTGATAAAGTTGAAAAATGCAGGGAGATTGCAGCTTTGATTATCAAAGAATTCTTTCATAGGTCAGATGATATTACTATGAGCATCCCATATATATTGCCAATTCTAGTAGAAAGACTCAATGCTGAAAATCTGGAAGGAACCGAGGGACTCCCAGATGTCATGAAACCTCCTATTACTTAGAAGCCATAAGTAATGGTTGCGCAAACCGAAACAAGTGAAGAAGTTAGAGTAGTTCTTGCAGAAATTGTTACAGTTATCGTATCTTAAACCGTATTCGATTGCTTAAGAGCATATGTTGATCAATTGGTCAATATTGTTAGAGCATTATGCATGGATCCATTTGGAGATGTCATTATTGAAGGATGTAATGCCATGTCAGAATTAGCTCAAAATGGAACAGATTAACTTCTACATTTTAGTGAGAATATGGGTAGATCTCTATTCACATCTTTTGTTAGTAAGCACGCAAAAGTAAGAATGGCAGGAATTAAAGCTCTTTATTAAGTATTTTTCTGTGGAGTCTGGAAATATAATGCTAATATCATGGAGCATCTAATTGGCTTTAGAGATCCTAACTTAGTTCCGATAAGAGATTTTTATGATGTTTCAACAAAGCTTAACTACTTTGCAATCTTGGTATCAGATAGATCTACTGTTGTAAGAGATTTATTTTATAAGACAATAGCTGGATTATCAATGAAACTTCCAGATAAAAAAGATCACGAGGGTAGACTATTCCCCTATCTTATAAGTGGGTTATATGACCATAATGATGTTATTAGAGAAAGTGTGTTTGATTTGATTGAGGAACTTGGAAAATAGTATGAGGAAGAATACGAAAAAGATATTAGAGAGCTCAAGTAATTAGGGTTTAACCCTGAGTGGACATTTAACGGTAAAGTCAAAGATTCTGATGTAACTTTGCCTCTTCCTTTTATTCATAGACCTTGTCTTGGATCTAGAATTCTTGTCAGATCTTATGTAAGAAGATATCTGCACGCCCTCTACAAAGAAATAACAGACTGGATTTAAGAGAATAGAGAAAGAGCTTCTAATTTATTGCTTTGCTGTATAATTTATACTGAAGACTTTATGACCTAATTTATGGACCATTTACTACTGTCTCTCTATAAAGCAGTCCTAGATAAAGAGAACAAAGTTGTAATGAAGAATATTCCACTTTGCCTTAAATTGATTGGAAGATATTGTGCTCCAAGAACATATGATAATTTCATTCTATAGGCTATTAGAAGTGAACTTTAATCTTATCTTCCTCATACTTAGGCTGGAGCTTTGAAAGCATTCGGATATGTCTTTTATGGAGCCGTAGAGATCATTCCTAATGATGAAAATTTAGATAAGGTCGATAACTTATTGTCAGAATTCGTACGATCAGTAAATGAACAAATCCTTGACTCTCTTGATCAAGAACTTGCTGATAACTTGATATACAGTCTATCGCAGATTATTGAAATCCTGAGTCTTAAGCAAGAAAAGGAATTCAATATTAAACAATGGTAGAAACATGAAAAAGACTTCTTCTACATGATTATTAGATGCTTAGGAGTTTACCACAATCTTAAGATGTTAAATAAACCAGACAGTGATCATGTCATAGAGTAAAAGAAATTGTGCATTAAATTATTGAATAATCTAACTTAGGTCAGTTCTAATCCAGAAGTAGACTTTTTTGAAAGTAATCTAAGAAGTTATTTTAACGAATAGTTTGAAACTGAGGAGGTTATTGACAAAGCAAGAAACTGGGCAATCTTGAATCATAGATGGAGGATGTTTTATGCAGTTTTTGAGTTTCTTGAAGATAAGCATTTTCAATATTACCTAGACTCTGATGCAAAAATCACTATCCAAGATAGAGTTGGCTAAATTATCTCTGCTATATTGAAAAATGGAGATAGCCAAAATTATAATGTAAAATATCTTGCGCTTACTTAGTTACTACCAATGTTCGTCAATAAATCAATTAAAATAGTAAATCCTAATCTAAGCTTAGTTTACCTTAATATTTTATAACAGGCAGCCCTAACTGAGTGGAAAAACCCAGATTAAAAACTTAAAAATTTAGTTCTTATTTAGAAATAGCATCACGATCTACTTGATCTTGAGGGAGTAAAGCTGAATGCCGAGGTTTTAGAGAAGTTTGATGAGTTCATGCTCAGCTTCGAAATTTTCCATAAGTTGAAGAAAGATAGTATTAGAGTTGAAACATTGAAAATAATAAGAAGATATTTGGATTTATTTATTACTCAAATAGTAACCTAAAAAGGCTTAAACTCCAAATTGAAGCTATTTTCTAAGTTAAAATTTATCTCCTAACTATCTGAAGAACTAATTAAATACCTTACTGACTATCATGATTCAGTTAGAGAGCAAGCCTAACTTTTATTGACTGATATAATCAGAGAATTCTTACCCTAAGAGCTTTAATTTGACTAGGAGTAGGATTAACTTCTACAGATGCTCAGATCAAATGCTTCAGTTGGATTTAGTAGTTAGATGACCCAGAAACTCAAAGATGCTGCTGAAATGGAAAGTGCAATGACTAAGCATGCTTTCGATGATCCTTAGGCGTTTATCAAAAATATAGTCGCCATTATGATGGATGAAACTCACGGAAGAGAGAACTTAATTCTAATTATTAAGGAATTCAACAAAAAGACGCCATTTATGGTATTAAATGACTATAGAATAGCCTACTAATCAAATAGTCTAAGAAGGGTTGAGATTCTTAAGACCCTTATTTTCTAATGAGGTGTAAAGTTTGAGTAATTTGTGATAAAATATATTCAGTTTCTCTTAACTTAATAAATATTTGTGAATTCTAAGAGTTTAATTATGGGTGAAATTCTTTTAATACATCACCCATTAATAATTTTATAATTACGCATCAGAGTTAATAATGGGAAATAAATAGATTATGCAAATGTAGGAGGATTAGATTCGGAAACTCCAAAAAGATAAAAAGCTTACTAAAAAATAGCTCGAAACAATACAATAGCGACTCCAGTTCAGATAAGATTAAAAAATAACGAAATCCAGTTCATAACAGCGCACGCAAATCACCTCTTAAATGACGTTTGACGACAGTTCTAAATTAAAGTCTGTATAGAAATCAAGAAATGTGACTCCATCTACAGGTATGTAATCTCCTTCTAATATAAATAACTTCGATATAACTAGTCTCTCTAAGACCTTTGAATTGCCAGAAGTTAATATGGAGAACAAGAAAAATAATCATAGTAAAAATTCATCAATTATATCATAGGAATAATCAAATTCTTCGACTACTAAAAAATAGGATATTTCAAATTAATCTCTCAGCGATGCACGATTTAAAAATAGACTTAAAACAACAGCTGGTCCTGGAGCCTTTTATTCGAAATCTAGGCAACATAACGCACCTACTATAACTGTTGATAATTTTGGATTTGAAGATGACATGTAAAATCACTTTGATCAACTTCTTGAAGGTCGAGATGGTGATCCGAACAGCAGATAGTAGAAATTTTTAGAAATGTACTATAGAAAAGGTTCTACACCTAATTATCAAAATAGCTTTCAAAGAAGAAAAAGCCGTAAATTGAGCGATGATGAAAAGCCAAAGTAGGATCTGACTTAATCATTGGATGTTAAATCTCAAGAATAATAGTCTATTCACCACACTCCAACAAGAAACAGAAATAAGTTTGCTAAAAGAATGGAAAAATATATGTAACCATCTACATCTCCCTCAAATCATACTTCGAGTGGTTAAGATGAGTCATCTAGTTCTAGATCGTCTAAACTTAATTCTGCTCGAAATAAATCTAATCTTCTTATAAATGATGGCAGCAGCTTCGATGTCGATGGACTAGATTTATCTCACATCCCAGCTATGTCTCATGATGGTATGGGGGAATGTAATAATTTTGAGAATAATTACAATCATACAACAGAAACGGAAGAAGAATATGCTGTTATTGATAGAGGAGACGACTATAAACTTTCTATAATGAGAAAGAAAAGAGCTCTTCCTCAATAAAATGAGAATGATGGAGAATTGCCTTAAGGATCCCCGGACTTTGTTTAATTCCCAAGATTCAGACAAGAGTTTCCAACTATAACAGAAGATCAGAAAGAGGACGAAGAAGATCAAGGTGAAATTAAACCAAGAGGAGGTGGAGACACTATGATGGTTAGATATAAATATATGCAAAAACTGTCTTAAGCCCGAATGATGGACCCATCTGGCTAGAACAGACCAAAATCTCACTAAACTATTATTATTTGGGATTGGGATGATACTCTCATGTCAAGTACTTTCTTATCACCATATTAACCTCATATTCTCAGTACTTCAGTAAGAAAGAAGTTGCCAAAAATAGTAAGGGATTAATTAGATCATTTACAAGAACTAATTATCAAGCTAATGTAAAAGAGTGTGAAACAAGGGGCTACCTATATCATTACCAATGCTGGTCATGGTTGGGTTGAACTCAGTTCCGCACGGTTTTTGCCCGCCTTATATAGCTAATTACTAATGAATTCAAAGAGAAATGGAATAAATATAATAAGTGCAAGAGCGATGTATGAAAAATAGTTTCCTAGTAATTATTTTCTATTTTGAATTAATATTCAATAGATGGGTTTAAAGAGTGGAAATTCAGAACATTTTCAGCATTAGCTGAGAAGATGGATAAAGATATCATCACCAATATAGTAGCAGTCGGTGATTCTTAGATAGAAATAGATGCGGCTGTGAGTTTATAAATGTATTATTTTTGTGAATAATTTGTTTAAGGTTGTTCCGAGAATCCTATGTGAAGACCGTAAAACTAAAAGAGCAACCGAATCTTGTTGAATTAACAAAGCAAGTAGAGCTTATATTAAGTTAGTTCGAAGAAATATGCAGTTGTGCAAAGAACCTAACTATAAGACTGCAGAAAGTATAAGATGAGGATCAAAGTAAATAATAATGAGATATCTTCAATTCTATTAATGATATCTCTGCCGCATTAAAATCTTATCTTTTGCATATGTTAGAGGCTAATAATTATATGTTTCCTAATATAAAGTATATTATTTATAAGACATGCCATATCTATTCACTTTTTTTACTTTAGGGGTTTTGGGGTTTTGGGGTT